CACACTCTGTATTTTGAGGTGTCCTCCTCTCTCCCTGCTGTGTCTCCAGTGGGATGCAACCCCGGAGAAGGGGAAATGGGATGGGATTTGGGATGAGTCTCCACCTCATGGAGGCTTTGCCTTKGAAGATGCCACAYGCTGCTGTCACCTCCCCAGAGATGGGGCTTCGTGTTGGGGGCCCACACGGGTGTGTGGGTGGCTGAATTTGGCAGAGCAGGGGTGAGAAGGGGATGTTTGGGGAGGAGAGGATGGTGTTTGGGGGAGGAAGGATGCTCAGGGTGCTTTAGGGATGGAAAGTTTGGCTGTGTGTTACCGCTGGACACACAATTGTCCCAATGTCAGTCTGCAGTGGGAAGCCCATGGGAACAGGACAGACCTGGGCTGGTCATGCTGTTTCCCCCTGAGCTCAGGGGTGGATGGAATGTGGTAGAATGCCTTTGTGTCCCTCCAGGGATTCTGGAATGGCAGGGATTCTGGAATGGCAGTGAGCCATGTCATGTCTCTAGCATAGAAATTTGCTGGAGCTTGAGTGGCAACAGCACTAATTCCCAAATGAGCCTGTTCATGCCTTCTCCCTGGAGGCAGTAGGAGGGGGGATTTGGGGCAGGGGGCTGCAGCCTTTCAGACACCTGGAGCCACGCTGGTGGCTGGAGCACCCCCTCCATCTCTGTGTCTGGAGCCAGAGCCATTCCCATCCCTGCTGGGGGGTTGGGAAGGGGGATTGGGAAGGTAGACGACTCCTCCCGTGGTGCTGGAGATAAGCCGTCATGTATTTTTTCATTTCTGCGKGAGGATTTTAACCCACCTGGCAGGTTTAACCATTCCCTGCCGGGCCTTCCCAGGAGCCAGCGCTTGCCCCGAGGCAGGCGGGGAGGTGGAGACACAAAGGGTTAAGCGTCCACCGCCGCCGAGATTTAGCAGGAGAAGCCCAGGCATCCCAGCCTAATCCTCCCATCCTTCCGTCGCATCCCTGCCTGCCTGGTACCGGCAGGAGGGACGGCGCTGGCCGTGGGTGATGGGCGGCCGCTAAAGCTCCTGTAATCTTCCAAATATTTGGAGGGATAACAATGGCAGGAGAGAGGATTTTAACGCTTTCCTGGGGAGGTCTGCTCKCCGTAGCTTCACGGGGACTCGCTTTCTGGGCTCCTCATCCCTCGTGCTGCGTGTTTGGGGTGACGGAGGGGGGGTAYGGCTGGGTCCCGGCTCCGGCGCTGCTCACTTTGGGGGGCGGGGTGGCTTTGGGGTCGTGGATCTTGACAAGTTGGAAACGCCGGCTGCAAACATCCGCAAATCGCCCCCCAGGGAACAGATGCTGCGGATAATCCAGCTCAAGCCCGGCAGATTAAAATGTGTGATGAGGGATGGGGAGAGGAAAAGAAGTGCCTGTTCCCCTCCTCCCTTTTCCTCTCGCTGCTCCTACCGCACTCATCCTCGAGGCTTTGCGATTCGGGCCCGTGGGTCGAGCTGGGAGCTGCCCCCTCTTTGCCTTTTTCCCCCCCACAAAAAGCTCCAGACACCCCGTAACACCACGCCCCAAGCAGCGTGAGATAGTGGGATGGCGACAGCCTGGGACTTCCAAAAAAAACCCAGCAGAAGAGAKCTGGGAAGCCGGCACCCACCTCCATCCAGCGGGAAGGAGGGAAGCCGGCAGATGGGAACCCCTGCAGACGTCTGCCAGGGAGATGATTACAGGCAGCGGAGCGCGCTCTCAAATATTTATTAGTTTGTCACCGCTGGGAGTTTTATTGCCGGTGTGACTGCGGGACTGGAAATCCCGGCCGTGCAGGGCTCCTTTCCTGCTTTCCCAGGGAAAAGCATCTCCGGTGTCGGCTGCTCCCGCGGTCACCGGGCCGCGGTGTCACCTCGGGCGGGAGGTGACAGGCTTGCACCGTCGGGAAAGCGCCTTTTTTGGGGGTGTTTTACAGTCGTTGCCGGGTATTSAGGAGCAGCGGTTGTTCCCACCCGAGCAGCCGTGCTTCCCCCACGTGTGGATTTTTTTAGGGGGCCCCGCCATGAGTGCCGGCTGAGCCAGAGGTTTCCCATGCGGCGGGTGGCCGGGCGTGGGGAGCAGGGATGAAAGGCTGGTTTGATGGCTTGTGATAAATGTGCCCAGCGTGCTTCTGCTCTCTTTTCTCCTCCCAAGTCCCCCTTGTCCCTGTGCCTTAATTCTTCCCCGGTTTAAATACCGGCGGCTGTTTCATGCTGGAGGAAAACGCCCTGCCCRGCTGCAAATGCTTTTTCCCAGTTAATTTCCCCATGGAAAAATCACCCTCCCCCTTGATTTGCTCCCAGTTGTGAGTCTGGGTGATCTGTGGGGTTTGGGGTCCGTGGCATGGTCCCAGTTGTGAGTCTGCCATGAAAAACCCATCATCCTTTTCCCCTGTCTCCCGTTAGAGCTGCTTTTTGGCCCCAGATCTCTCCTGGCCAGAAACAAAAGGATCTCTCAGCTCTTGTGAGTTTGCAGGATTTTCACTTGCCCAGCATGCTCCTTGCTTTAAAGATTCAGGTGTTTTGGGTTCAAACCTTAGATGTTGCAAGTTCTTGTAGCCATCTAGATGTTGGATCTGGCTGGGGACACCATTCTGTTTTCCATGCTCATCCACAAAGTTGCTGTGGATGTTTAACCCGCAAAGAAGAGAAGAACCTTGAAGACCCAGCATTTATTTGGGTCTTGGAGCGGGGTCTAGATGGGATTTTTGGTACAATTGGGGGTGTCTTAGCCCCAAACCTCTGCTGGGGTGGCTCAGAGCATCACCCTTCCTGCTGGGGATGATCCCAGTGAGTCACAAATCCRGCATTTTCATCCCCATCCGGCCCTGACTCATCCCCTTCCGGCTCCCAGATCCTCTTGGATGACCTAAAGTCTCTTTCAGCATCACCAAAGTGGTGATGAGATGGGAGAAAGCCTATCCTTGGTGTTGGCTACTGGAGAAGGATCCCAGCCCGTGGTTTTTGGAGAAGGATCCCAGCCGTCCACAGGGAAGGGTCCTTCCAAAAACTGGCTCTTCAGGCTGCCCGTGCCCATTCCCAGCTGCCAAGCTTAGGTCTGACTTTACCACAGGGATGCAGGGAGCGTTGTACTGGGGAGGTTTTCACACCAGCCCATGAGTGAAGTTTTTTTGGCTGCCTCTGCTGCCAGTTCGATTATCTCCTGCCAGCCCCCTTTGCCAGGGAATTTAGATCTGTGGCATCGAAGCGGTTTTTGAAGTTAAAAAAAAAAAAAAAGAAAAACAAAAACAACATGGAACCAACAAAACAACAACTCAGGGGAGGAAAAATTGAGCAGTGAATTAGAAAAGCAGGGGGAAAAGGGATGTTTGCTGCTGTGGCAGGTAAGAGGCCCCTCAGGAGAGGGGAGCRGTGTGGGATTGTTCCAGGTGAGAGACACTCACGTCAGCATTCCCTGTCCCCCTGCCTGCCACAGGGCCTGGGAAAATTACAGGTCTGCAAATGAGAAGAGGGAGGAAATAACCAGCAGCAGAGAGGTGGGGAAGAGCCAGCCAGAGAGAGAGAAATTAGCCTGGAGTTTAATTCATTGTTTCCAAAAGAGCAGTTAATGGATTATGACAAATGTCCTACCGCTCTCCCTTAGTGCTGTGTTAAATGGAAATGGAAAGTCAATTTTCCTAAATGGATTTTAAACGACTGACCTCGTGCATTTTTTTTTTTCCCTCACTGATTTTTGCTCAGGAGGCAGCTTGGTCATCTTGTTTTCTTGATGCATYTGATTATATTTTTTCTCTTCCTCCTCCTCCTCTTCCTCCTCCTCACAGCTTGGGATTCTGATTCTCCTCCTTGTCAAGGGTGATGAAGGGAGTGGGCTCTTTTCTTTCCACTGCCAAGCTCTGGAGATGTTATCGTGGGGCTGGGGATATTTACTGTTTTCCTGCACGCTGCAGTGCCTGGAGTTGAGAATCGCAGCTCTGGCTGGGCGAACAGAGGAGGAGGAAAAGCTCATAACTCCTTTGAGCGGAAAGAAAAGCCTGGTGATGTGACCTGACTGCTAGTGAGGTTCCCAGGAACAGCAGGTTAAGCAGCAGCAGCAGTGTCCCAGTGCACCTGTGTGTGGGGTTTATTGGCACTCTGATATTTGGGGTTGATCCTAATGGGCTGGAAGCAGCAGCTCCTGAAGCAGACGATGCTCAGCATCAGCCACAGCATCTTCCCAAGCTGCTGCTGCTGGGAATGAGCCCCCCCAAAGCTCAGGGATAATGTTTCTGTTCACCCCTTTCCAAGATTTTCCTCGTCTGGCTGGAGCAGATGTGACCTGCAGTTGTTTTTTTGCATTTAAATGGCTTTTGGAAGCAAACAAGCAGGAAGGTGGAGCTCCCCAGGGCACGCATCCCTGGTTCCTGGGATGGTGTGAATCCCCATGGCACCTTTGGGTGGTGTTTCTGGAGGTGGCTGGGCTGGAAGYGATCACTCACCTGTTGGGTGATGCTGAAATCCCGGTGTTGGCAGGGGCCGAGATCCCAAATGCAGCTSTGGTGACAGTGTGGGTGTCTTGGGTTTGTGCTGGGGTATGGTCAGCATCCCCAGCAGTTTTCCCAGCACAAGCCCTGCTCGGAACATGCCCCTGCATCCCTCAGGGCTGTAATGGACAGGCCTGGTGTGGGGCACCCCAGCCTCTCTCTGTGTCCCCATCACCATCTCCACATTTGGGTTTGTTTTGCTTTTCCCCTCATGGTGTCCTCAAGTGAGGTCACCCAGGCTTTGGCTCAGGATGTATGGGGGGAGGGCTGAAAACAGGATTGATCCCACAGCTCTGGGCTTACAAGGGTTTGCTTTGCTGTTTTTTGGGGAGCTTTGCTGTTTTTTGGGGAGCTTTGCTGTTTTTTGGGGAGCTTTGCTGGTTTTTGGGGAGCTTTGCTGGTTTTTGGGGAGCCTCCAGCCGTCTTTTTGCTTTTCCACACATCCCCAGCACGGGTTGTTGTTGGCACCCCTGAGTGCAGGGAGGGTGGGGACAGGGGGCACTGCCCAAGCTGTGGGTGTCCCGGCAGGGCTGGAGTACAGCGATGTGCTGCCCGACTCGTTCCCATCGGCGCCGGCCGAGACGCTGCCGCATTTCCTGCTGGAGCCTCAGGACGCCTACATCGTCAAGAACAAGCCCGTGGAGCTGGTGTGCCGCGCCAACCCCGCCACCCAGATCTACTTCAAGTGCAACGGAGAGTGGGTCAACCAGAATGACCACGTCACCAAGGAGAGCCTGGACGAGGTCACCGGTGAGCAGAGCCACCCCGTGTCCCCATCCCTCACTTCATTCCGGGCCCTTTTCCCTCTTGCCCCATSTTGGTGTTTCTCCTCCAGCTCATCCCAC